TCTCTCTCTCTCTCTGTGTGTGTGTGTGTGTGTGTGTGTGTGTGTGTGTGTGTGTGTGTATAGCACGCATAACTATAGAGGGTCCTAGGAGCAGGAAAAAGGGGTGGTGATTGGCACCCCCCAATGTCATATTTTCCAAAATAAACCTCTTCTCCCCTCTCCCTCCTCCCTCATCACTCACTCTCTGCACACACACACACATACACACACACACACACACACACACACACACACACACACACACACACACACACTCCTAGAGGTTATATCAGACTCACCCAGGGAGGGTGATTAATGTTTCCCAAATACACTTGCCCACATTCTGCTGAGAGATTCTAACAGCAGATGTGGCCTGGAGGGTGAGCTGCTTTTGAACCTTACAAGACACTCGTGTATGCTTCAGGTTAGGAAAGGTGGCTTTGGGTGTTCAGAGATGTAGCCAAGAAGGGACTTAACAGAGGAGAGTAGAACAAAGACTGGCAGAGAAACCGATGGACTGCAGTAATCCTTAACACAGTGAAACGCCTGTTAGCGAGGGGGAGGGGGGGCGGCATCGTTTTTAATCCTTAACACAGTGAAATGCCTGTTAGGGAGGGTGGAGGGCGTCGTTTTGTGGCACTTGGGTCAGCAGAGATAGTACTGAGATGCACTATGGGACCGCATTCCATTACCAAGGTCTCCATAAAGAATTCTGCTATCCATTTGGCCCAACAAGTACCACCTAGAGGAGCAAGGGCTGTGGAGGAGGGGGTCAGGGTCAAGGCCAAGGTTGGAGACTAAGTTTGAATTTATTTTCCCTTTAATGACCCTAATACCATACTCAGTTCCTGAGAAGAAATTGTGGCCAGAGGGAGTAATTCTGAATCATGTGTGCTCTTTCCAGATTTTAGGCTTTGACATTCTTCTGATGAAAAGCCTGAAACCTATGCTACTTGAAGTGAATGCAAACCCCAGCATGCGAATTGAGCATGAATACGAAGTAAGTGATTGCAGCATCTCCTGGGCCATGTATCCCTACCTGTGAAGCATCCCCTTGACTGCCCAAGGCTTGCCATCCTCAAAAAGTCACAGCAAAATTTCATTCGAGTCAAATAATTTTAGTTCTGTAGAGCTCCAAAGAGAGTCTATTAATATAAGACCTTTCCGACCCACGGTAATCTCCCAGCATGCCATTCTTCTCATTTTTAAGGTGGGAAACTTAGAAGCAGCTGAGCCTCTCCATCCATTTTGACACGAACTAATTAGTTAGCCTCAGGAGATGAACTAATTGAAATTCTATGAATATGAGTTAGCCATGTCGACATGCTTGAGCCACTAAGATAAACAGTACATTTAACAGCGCTTGTGCCCCACCCCCACAAACAAATTTAAGGAGCTAGAGGAAACACCCCTAAAATTACTACTGGGTTTTTGGGGATTATCTGGATTCTTTTCATTTTCTAAAGCCTTTTCCACGTTCCCATCTCATACAAAGTGAGCATGCATAATTTTGATGATCCAAGAAGCACAGTGCCAAGAGCAGGCATGGTAGTGCACACCTGTAACTCCAGGAGTCCAGAGGGGAAGACAGAGGGATCATGAGTTCAAGGCCATCCTCAGCTACATATCAAGTTGGCAGCCAGCCTAGGCTAACAAAATAAAATCTTATCAGTAACAATAAAGCCGTAGTGCTGTTATTTTTTTGCGGGTTTTGTGGGTTTATAAAAGGTGATTTGCGTATTTAAGCTGAGGTGAAGGAGGGTTAAAACTCCCTTCTATGGATTTGCATAGGCCAGATGTGTGATTGCACAACCATTGGGCTAGTTGGAGGCAAGCAGAGATGAGCATCTAAAGTGGGTCACAGTTCAGCTCTGACTCGGAATCCTTACCTTCCAAGCTCTCTCCAGGGGTGTTTGAAAATATCCCCAGCCTGGTGGATGAGGAGGTGAAGGTGGCCGTGATCAGAGACACGCTGCGCCTCATGGACCCTCTGAAGAAGAAAAAGGAGACACAGTAAGTCTTTATTATGTCACTCATTTCTGCTGATTCCTTCATTTCTCTTTGTGTCCTAAGCAGGTGAAGTAACTTCTTAAGATCTAAATGAATAAATCATGTTTTTATTTCATAAATAGTCCCAAGCAACCAGCAACTCAAAATCAGGGAATACAGCTCAGTGGTAAAACATGTTCCTAGCATGTGTGAGACCCTGAGTTCCATTCCCAGCACTGCATCCAGTCAACAAACCAATCAATCAACACACTAATAGAATCAGGATTGCACCACAGTTGAGATTCAGTGATAGACCTCCCGTGGTTATCCAAACCTAGAGGTAGCCAACTAAGTTTCCACTTCCCTCAGAGATAGGATCTGTACTTCCCGTGACTGTGCGATCTCTGCACAGGAAGGGTGCTACAGCATGTGGGGAGGCCACAGCAGCTGCACATGGAGAGAGCTGCCTCTGTCTCCCTCAGCGGTTTATACTCTTGTGGTGGAAGCTTTGGAGTTCTGTGTTTGCAGAGCAGATACCATGGACTTCTGACACCTCTAGCACATGTCCACAGGAAATTTCTGGCCCTCCCACCCTCTTGGCCACTCATGGGGACACCAGGGGGGAAGATGTATGTCCCCACCTCACCCTTCATGCAGTCATCCTGGATAGGAAGAACATTTCACTTGGCCACTTTGCTCCATTTGTCACCCACCACGCAGCTCAGGCTCCCACAAAATGAATGTTGACTGATTGTTGTCAGGCCTAGGTTTTAGGCAGAAACCTGAAGCAGGCATTTCAAGTACTTCTTCTCACAGCCGTGATGGTCAGACTGACCCAAAAGCTCCCAGCCATATCAGCACTTGCCAGCCATGGCTGGAGACAGGGAGGAATACTGACTTCCCCAGCCAGGGAGACTCCTCCTCAGTGGGGCTCAAGCTTGTGTGTGATTCACTGCACAGCAATGCTTCTCACCTGAGTGCACATGAGAACAGAGCAGCTTTGGGAATTAGTCCAAGGGCCCCACCTTCCGCAATGCCAAATTTTATGACTATGGCTTGGAGATTTGTCCATAGACATTTGTAGGTTCCCCAGGTGCTGCATCTTGGCAGGTGTGGTTGAGCAACCGTACCCTGCAGGAAGTGTCAGGCAGGCTGGGTGGTACCTGCTTCCCGGTCTCTTCTGAGAACAACTTCACCACGCTGGCAGCATCTCACAAACATTCACCTGGGGTCTGCATAGGACAGTTCTGCAGGTGTGGCTGCCATGGACTCCTGCTTTAGAGATGATGTCCCTGGGCCGCCAGGTCCTCTGAGCATCTCAGGCCCAACAGCAGGCAAATGATATGGCCATTGGCTGAGTATATGCAGCGTCTCTCACTACTTACTCTCAGAAAACACACTGGTTGGAGTTGCAATTTAGTTAGATTAATTGCAATAAAGCACACTCCTTAAAAATCTATTCTGTAATGGTTATTGATCTCAGCGGTCAAGATGAGATTCCAAGATACTTTGGGCTCTGTGCAGGGAGAAATGGGGGGCTTTCTATAGTGTGGGGGTGCAGATTATTTTAGGATGACCTTGACACATTGGTATTCTGACTTCTTCACTGGGAACAAGAAGTCCAAAATCCATTATATGGCCTAAGCATACTTTTAAAATTTAATTTTTTTCTTTTGAAAATTTCCTACATGACTATATTACATTATTTTCATCCCTTCTTTACCCTCTCCAACTCATCCTAAGTCCTTCCTATAACTCCATCTCAATATTCACGACCTCCTCTTCATATATATATATATAAAATCTACCAAGTGTATTAGTGTTGCTGTGAGGTGTGCATGTCTAGGGCTGAGACTGGGCAGCCCATCAGAGGACTCCTCTGTGGTTCTGCCCTGAATGCACCGTCTCCTCTGAGCTCAGAGTCAGGGCTGGTTAGTGCTCACAATGGAGGCCTGAGAATTCCCTAACCTCTGCCACCTAACACACAGGACTCAGAGGTTCCACCCTTCACACTAAAACAGCACAGAGACAGAGCCCTCTTTTTCCCTGTCCTTGTTTCGAGGTACCAATACAATCTGTATGAGCTGAAGATCTGAAATTTAATTGCAGTGGAGCCTGGGACCATTGACTGGGAAGGATGAAAGAGGCATTTTATAACTTATCAAGTCATAAGTAGCAGCATCTCATTTTTAATTTAAAAAGCATTGACTTTGTATCGATATCCAGGAACAGAATTTCAGGACTCCGGCTTCCATGTTAATCGAGAAGTCCTTTCATCCCCTTCTTTATCAGCAGCAAAAGGAGGTGTGTGAATAGCTAAATGCCATTTACTCGTTTCCCCCTTAATTTCACTTTATTTTATTTTATTTTTAGCCAGCAATGATCATCCATGAGAGCACATTGCAGTCTGCAAGGTGCATTAATATATAAGCAATTACTATTGTGGTAACTTTACCAGGTTCGAGGCTGAATTAATTCTCAGTTCCTATGTCTCAAGACAAAGTACAGGGTGGGGGCCAAAGAAAATATGCAAGGCTGTGGGGCCAAAAACTATGGATGCCGTTCTGAGACCATGCCATTCCAACTGTATTGAGTGATGTCACGGTAGAATTCCAGGCTGGAACTTGCCTGTAGAAGCTGAGTTTTCAGTTTCTTTTTGCTCTTGTCTCTTGTTTGAGTTGGGTCTCACTATGAAGTCCACGCAGGCCTTGAACTCACAATCCTCCTGTCTCTGCCTTCCTAGAGGCAGAGGGATTGCAGGTGTGTGTGTCTCCATGCCTGGTTCTAGAGCATGTGGTTGGTCCTTACTAGCTCCTGCTTTGGGTGTTTGTCATCAAGACAGCTGGGGTGGGGCTCCCTTGATCCACACAATCTTAATTAAGAAGCAGATGTCCTGAGCCCCCCAGCCCCGAGACTTCTCTGAAACAGTGCAGAAGAATCATTAGAAAGGCTCCAACATGTGCCTGTACACCCTACGCCCCCACACACCCTGCACCCCCATGCACCCTGCACCCCTGTACACACTGCGCCCCTGTACACCCTGCGCCCCTGTACACCCTGC